ACTGTATATATGTACACTGTAGGGATTCCGGGTTAGGATTGATCCCCACCAAATGGATCGGGTGATCCGGACCAGACAATCCTGTGACTGACACGAGCATCGAGACCCTTGAAGATCCGGGGAGAGAATACGTCTTCAGCAACGCATGCTTGCCGTAAGAGGCGATAGCGATATGATAGCATGTCCCCGTACCCCCGACGAAATGGATAGTTGCTTACAATATCGATCACTGGATTTTATGACCCAGGCCCGATCATTTATAGGTCTTCGTCACATAGCTCGAATATTGCTGTGTGCGTGTTAAACAACACATAAACAAACAATATTTAAATATACGAGTGAATGTATTGCATGCCAATAGCATTTAGATTATTTTACGCTGTTCGGTTTGTGTGAGCCTTTTCAGATCAGTGTTATAGACTATTCAAAAGAAGTTAAAGAACACACGATTATTTTCATAATGTCCATAGTTAATATGCCAAAGTCATATACAAAAATTGGGTGTTCCTTAACTTCTTTTGAGTAGTATATAAATATGTCCCGTTAGCTGTATAAACATGCCTTTGTTCACAAACCACCACAATATTAAAAAAGTAATAAGTTCAATACGGTCGATGTCAGGTTATTGTGAGTTGGGTTTAACGCCGCTCTTAACAGTATTCCTGTTATATCACGGCATGTCAGCTTAATGTGGGAGGAAAGCCCCAAGTGGTGCAGGTCTCAGACGTTTACCAGTTCGGTGAAACCCACGAGCACGGGTATGGTGCTGACAAATCTAGATACATAATCGGGGCGAACCGGGATTCGAACCCACAATCATAGCTTCCTGGCGTGCCGAAAGTGACGCAGCTCTGCACAGCGAATCGCGGCGCCTTAGACGACTGGGCCATCCGTGCCCCTGTTTTCAAGTTGAAATAGAGTATACTCCACGGATATGGTGCTGTTTAACATGATACCCCACTGAGTATACTGACTCCGAGCCGACCAGTCATTGTTTTGCCCCTTAATGCCGAGCACCAGACAGGGTAACAACAAGTACCGTCTTTTAACGTCTTTTGGTATGACGCGGCCGGGGATCGAACCCCGGACCTTCTGGTCGCATATTAAAAACAAGACTGTAAATGAATCCTCTATTTGTCTGTTTCTCGGCAATGTAAAGCTAACGAAGAACAACAGAATCCATTGGGATTATTAAGAATTAGATATTCAAAAACATTAGGTCAGGTAGGTACTACTTTCAGTGTTTACAAACGAACACGGCGTCGAGCGTTTTTAACGGCGCTCAGAATTGGCCAACGGCAATCTGGATAAATTATAGATAATTGTTATCATTATATCAAAATATTGGTCCGAAATGCTGAAAATAACAGTCTAGATATAACCTTGGCTTAACTTAGGCCTTTAACAATCGCCGGCACCACCTCTACGTCTTTGGATCTTTTCCTTAATAATAGTGAGTGAGTGAGTTGGGTTTAACGCCGCTTTTGGCAGTATTCCAGTTATATCGCGGTGTGTCAGCTTAATGTGGAAGGAAAGCCCCAAGTGATGCATTCTCAGACGTTTACCACTTCGGTGAAACCCACGAGCACGGGTATGGTGCTTACAAACCTAGAAACATAATCGGGGCGAACCGGGATTCGAACCCACAATCATAGGTTTCTGGCTTGCCAAGGGACGCAACTCTGCACAGCGAATCGCGGCGCCTTAGACGACTGGGTCACCCGTGCCCCCTTTCCTAAATAATAACTGAAGGACTTGGCCGAACTATATATGTCGGAACTTTTACTTTTTTCTTTTCTCGCTGTGTTGGACACGTGAATACATATGTTGTTACATTCTTACAATGTAATGAGTCTAATGACTGAGCGAACCAGGCAGACCCAAAACAATTGTGACGTCTCGTTGACTGAAGTAGCGTTCCTTTGATGAAGGGAGGTTACTCTAGCGGGCCGACCGATGTACTGCCGCGATAGGCGATCACTCACAAAGTTATTTTATGTGCTTTTAAATTTTTTGCCTATATGGTAGTTACGACACTGCCTTAACATGTTTCTCTTTCTGCTTCTACAATTGCCTGTTATCACCGTCGGGCTGACTAATCACTGATCTTGTAACGTGAATTATTAATGCGCACATTTCAGAAAAAAACGTGCTGTTATAAGGTACCGTTTATGAGATACGAGTTTACTTTTCTCGATTACAGAATTAAAGAATGACATAAGATTATAAAGGAGAAAGAGGGTAGTCCCTATATGTTCGATGGAACAGAGAGATAACGAGATTTATACTATTCGGGAAAATTGTGATCACTACAAAAGTATCACAGTTCTTATATTCCTAGAAATATGAGCGACAAAACCCTTTCCATAATCACAAGAAACCTCTGTAACACGCAGAGTTCATTGACGTTGCTATTATACCAATCATTTGATAATATCTGTGATTGTAATATTCTCAGGTGGCCGTCATTTATGCTGGCATATTGCCAGTGCAGCGTTAACAAATAGCAGATGCCGGTATTACTATTTCTGACGAATGCTCTGGCCTACCTATCTCTAAACTATCCAATCAGTTCAAACAGTTCACAGCTGTATCAATCGATCCTTTTGTTTATGTTATCGATTCATTCCAATGACAAAACACAGCAAGTCAAACATAGGACAAATAGGCGAGAGAGACCTAAACTTTCCAAGGCGACGGACATGGATCTGAATTATTAAGCTCAAGATTTAGCCGAAACCAGACAGAAAAAAAATATTATGTATTATTATTCCGTTTATATTCAGTTCTCTCAAAGTAACATTGAATGATATATCAGCGGTTTCAAACGTGTTAGCAGAAGGCATATATTGTATTACTATTCCAGTTGTACTCGGTCCTTTCAACAGTTACATGGAATGATATATCAGGGGTTTCAAACGTGTTAGCAGAAGGCATATATTGTATTACTATTCAAGTTGTACTTGGTCCTTTCACAAGTAACATGGAATGATATATCAGGGGTTTCAAACGTGTTAGCAGAAGGCATATATTGTATTACTATTCAAGTTGTACTTGGTCCTTTCACAAGTTACATGGAATGATATATCAGGGGTTTCAAACGTGTTAGCAGAAGGCATATATTGTATTACTATTCAAGTTGTACTTGGTCCTTTCACAAGTTACATGGAATGATATATCAGGGGTTTCAAACGTGTTAGCAGAATGCATATATTGTATTACTATTCAAGTTGTACTTGGTCCTTTCACAAGTTACATGGAATGATATATCAGGGGTTTCAAACGTACATATTGTATCATTATTCCAATATCTGTTTATCTTTAACAACTAATTACCATAGCATAGTCATGTTTCCGCGAAATTTATACATCGCATATATCGATATATAATCACTTACTCGAACTCCTTTAACTCGAACTCCTCGTGAGAAGATACCACGTGAGATCCCGGCAAAAGAATTATTATCTGAGGACTGTTAATTTCATCTTATTTTCTAACATCAAATCACATGAAATTATTACCAATAGAATAAAATCATATGAATTTCAGAGCTTCGTCTAGGGTACTTGGGGCGTTGTGCTAGCCTTGTGGTTAAAGCGTTTCTCCTCACGCCGAGGACTCGGGTTCGATTCCCGACATTGGTACAATGTGTGAAGCAAATTCCTGGTGTCCCCCGCCGTAATATTGCTGGAATATTGCTAAAAGCGGCGTAAAACTATACTCACTCAATCACTCACTCACTCAGGATACGCAACAACAACACTGGCAGGAACGATACAAACCCATAATTAACAAGTTCTAGCCAAACGTGCATACATACATGCTTAGTACTAGTTTGTTGAATCTTCTATCAATAACGATGAGTGATTTTCTCTATACGTTTAAAGTCTTTTTAAGTATTGACATACTGTAATGAGTTGTCTTAGGAAACATGCTTATCTGGGATAAACATCGCAGATTCCCACATTTAGATAAACCCTTCCCCCATGTTGACAAGCCGCGTGACATGTTTACTTGTTTACTTATAAAACAGACATTTACGACTGAACTGTTTTGCCATGTCTGAAGATCAACTATAAGATCACGTCTTATGTCAAACTGTGTGAGATTAATTCACTTTTCAAATCCGATAATCAATTACCTGACAGGTTTGTTTCAGAACTTTTAGGTTAACTGGGCATTTTTATTAATGAGATACATCTACTGCACTGCGATTCGATAACAGCTTAAACATTGGTTTCCAAATATCAGATGTGGTGCTTCAGAAATAAAATAACAGCATAACGAAGTCTGTGTTATTTGGCTTTGAATAATTGATTAAACTGTCCGTCTATACATGAACTATTGTTGATATAATCACGGGAATAAGAAATCCAAAATATGGATGTTTCATGCTCGTGAGATGTGACAAACACAGGGTAGGAAATAACCTATGTTCTAAGTAAGGGGAAGCGGCTGACATTCGTCTCAGGCCCGCAATTCGTTGTTAAAGGCGGCGTTAAACCCAACTCACTCACTCACTCACTCAGTAACAAACTAGTTTTCTCGTGAGAAAATTGTCCTTTTAACGGGTGGCCCAGTCGTCTAAGGCGCCGCGATTCGCTGTGCAGAGTGTCGTCCCCACGGCTCGCCAGAAACCTATGGTCGTGGGTTCGAATCCCGGTTCGCCCCGATTATGTTTCTAGGTTTGTCAGCACCATACCCGTGCTCGTGGGTTTCCCGAAGTGGTAAACGTCTGAGACCTGCATCACTTAGGGCTTTCCTTCCACATTAAGCTGACACGCTTTGATATAACTGCAATACTGTTAAAAGTGGCGTTAAACCCAACTCACTCATTCAAATGTCCGTTTAGGCCCCTTGCCTGAAACGTAACCACACAAGGCACCATAGTTGTTGATCTTGTAAGTATAGATGGTCAATAAATCCCATTTTGAATATAATAATAATGATAATAAAGACAAAACATCTATGTATCAAGAAGATATGGAAACGGACGTACCTGCATTGGATGCACCATCTACGTTGGTGACGATGTCCAAAACAAAGACGTAGACGGCGATCAAAAACGACCCTCCAACTGGGTATCCGGCCATGATCTTACTCATCTTATCTCCCGCGCAGCATGTAATGCTTCAGTGTATCTACTTTGCCTCAATTTCACCTACGTCACAGATGGAATGTGTTTCTGGAAGGAGGTAAAGTGATGCCCGTGGGAGCCTATTAGCTGTCTTGTTATTGTTTCTTCGATCCTGAGGAAGACGATACGTTACTTACAAACAACCCACTGGAACATATTACATATGCGCTTCCTGCCTTGGCTAGTTATTCTTTTTTTGTGTCGTGTCTTCAAACCGATTGTTTTTAGTAAGTGCCTTGGATAACTTCATTATATCTATTATATTATGTTTTCTCAAAGGCGATTAATTACTAAAAAATGGTATCGCAGATTTCTTGCCATTAACTAATTTAGTACAAATCCGTGTATTGGTTTTCTGTTTCTTCATGTACAATATATAAATAGGATGACCCTTTTCTTCGTATTACTCACCCTCGTCCAGTAACTGTTTTCATTCGATGACAACTCAAACACCCATTCATTTGTCGTCTGCTTCCATGTCTTCAAATGTCGTCTGCTGCAGTTGCTTTTCAACTCTGTCCTCGTCGTCTTCTATTTTTGGTATGAACGTGTCTGAAATACCTTCGCGATGATTCCTCACGACTGGTTAGCTTTTCAATCCGCCGGATGCACGCGACTGGCTGGTGTCTATATACTTCGCTTCATATCCTTCAGCCCTGGAAGCGATGACTTATTGTTACCATGACATTCTACACGTACTGGTACAACAAAAGGCCTATCCGCATCTTCAATTGATGACTTTGTCTCTTTGAAGTATAAAGAACTTGTTTCTATCTTGAACGGCCACTGGCTGTTGACGGATTGGCTTCAAAGACAATTGTGATGTTGTATGCTCATGAAAAAATAATTTAGTCAATTTCTGTAAAATCCTGATTTTTCACATTCAAGCTGCGCTTTACCCTCATGACATCACAAGACTTGCATTAATTTGCTACTGACGCATTATTCCTTTGGCCACTTTACTAATAAAAAAGTGCAAAATATGTATTTATCTACCTAATGACTTGTATTACTACACATCTCTTGCCACGTCTTTTCACTCAACAAACTTCATGCATTCGCGATCAGTTGCCATGTCTCTCCGCAACCTGCATCGGAGTCACTGAAAGAGAGATCGTCTGCCACGCATCGGAGTCGCTGATAAAGAGATCGTCTGCTACGCTGTGTGGTCGGCTGGTCTTGTCGTCTGCTGCAGTGTGTCGCCAGCGCTCAACCAGAGACGTTGATGGACTGATCAATCACACTCGCGTGTCTCGAACATTCATCGACGGAAAATCAATAGTGATAGCAGACACCATCATTCAAAATCGTGTTCCATATGTAACGAAGGCACTGATACTGGCCATGCGTGGTGCCTGCATTTAAAGGTCCCCGATATACAGACGCGTGGTTTAATCAAAGTTTCCCTTGGAACCGTCAAATTGAAATCCGGAACACGTGCCCAGTAAATTCTATTGTTTGGAGCGCCTGAATGATAGTTTACACCACAGTCTATCCTTCCCCCTATTTCCTCCGGTTCTATTTGTTAGTGACCCGGAGTGTCCTTATTCCATTGTGGTTATAGTTTCAATGTTGCGACAAAACGGCTGAAAGTGGTGATTACATTCATTTAAAAACATTTTGCATACAAATCGATATTTTCCCTCGTCTAAACTCCATCACCTTCTGAGTAACACAAACAACGCAGTGCGTGATGTCTCCACTATATCTCGTGATATCAATGATATAATATGAATTAAATATGAATAGAGCTTTCATTTATCATTATACTCTTTCTGCAAAATTAGCTTTTTTTCAATCTCAATAAACTTGTTGACATAATCCTCCATCGGACTTAAGTGCTGTTAGTCTATGTGCAGAGTTGTGTCCCTCCTATATTTAATATATCTATGCAAGGATCCGCTGCTCGTGGGTTCGAATCTAGAGTAGAGTTTGTATACATAATAAAAAATATAAGATAGCTACGCTATAAATCGCAAAGAACAATAAAGAACGAAGCGTGGTTCGGTCGCGACGTCATTTCTGGAGAATCGAATTTGCGCTCGCAACTTGATGAGGTCCTATATCAGTTGACGTTATTTTTGAGGGGGAAGTGTCGAGTAAGTTGTTCCCCGTAGATGTAGCTTGGCAATGCAGATTAACGCAGTGGCCGAAAGATCGCATCCAAAAGCGAGATATGACAATCGGCTTTGAGAGAAAAGGTACAGATGATCGACGTGAGGATTGTGAGTATTTGCAGGAAATACCAAACTTAACCCACCTGTTCTTAAAATGGATTGTCCGACATTTCCGCGGTCAGATTCTATTCAGGAAGTCATAATTATTAAAATTTGGGTAAATATTTTAAGATTTTGTACATTTCATCAACATACTTAAAGAGGCTGTGCAGAATGTTGACTTCTCATATAAGAAATAAACGACCAGTGGTCGTTGTTTATTGTACAATAAACAACTCCCACTCGTTGTTTTTTTCTTAATTATAATATTTCATTCTTTCAATAAAACATTGGATAACAATCAATGAGGAACCATTCATACTATTACTTAAATCATATCTCAATGATACCTCAAAGGTCGTCATATAAATCATATATAAATGATATTTGACATTGAACCAAATATTTGTATTAGTTTCCTATCAGCTTATAAATGATGTGAACACATTTGATACACATTCATTAGTGCAACAAATACACAACTAATCATGACAATACATCTAATTCATATTCAACAATGACTAAGATATTATGCATGACAATATTCATGCAAGTACATTATATACATACTATTTGCCACTTCCTACTCATAAATATTAAATTCCAATCATGATATTATTTGACATAATCGAGTTTGTACAAGTGAGCTTACCTTAATGTAGAAAGTGATCAGTCAAAGAGATGCTTCAGTATTTATTTTTAGGTTTAATATATTGATATGATGATGATTGTTGTTGTTGTCGTTGCTTAAAGTGTTTAAGAGGTCGGCTGACCTGTCCCTCTTTGGGACTCATGTGTGTAAGTAGGGTACATATACTTGTGAGATTAAGAACTCATTAAATTTCTGTCTTTGTATTGGCATGATTTATATTTTCGTATATTTTTTTAGCTTTGGCTGCTCTGTTTATATACGTTCAAGTAGCTGTTCATCTCTCAGAATTAGAGTTAGATCTACGACAGATAGCGGATCTAACTGCAATTCTTGTTTTAACAGAGCCCAGGCTGGGGCATGGTCTTGACATTCCAGTAACAAGTGAGCAATGAATTCAGGTTGATTGCAAAATGGGCATACCTTGTCATGGTGTTTTTTTGTGACTGAATCTGAGGCGTGAGATAGCTACTTGAACTATCCTTTCATTTGAGTATGAGTATTTTGGTGGATCTCGGGATGAATTTTGCATAGCCATCTGTCGATTCTTCTTGCGCCCCACTGGGCTTGCCATCTTTGGGCTGTGGAGGTTTTGAATTTGCGTTTTATCTCTAGTTTACTTGTTTACGTGAATGGGCTGTCTCTCCGCTTTGTCTTAAGCTAGCTTCGCCAGAGTGTCTGTTTTTTCTCTCGATTTCCATGACTGTCCATGTGAGACGGGATCCAACACAGCTCCACTTGTTGCCCCTGGTCCAATATGTGTGTATATTCTTATAGAATATTGTTGACTGTGTTTGGTCTCGAGTTTGAGTTTCTGCCGCTGATGGCTTGAAGTGCACCTAGCGAGTCTGATAGGATGTCTGCCTTTGCTTCCGGTAGTTTCGGGGTGAGTTTTAGTGCATGATGAACTGCCTCCAGTTCAGCAGGGAATACGGACCGTCAGGCAAGCGATCGGAATGTGCTAGGGTGTTGAAGTTTGGATATGGATCCCGTAACCAGCAGTGTTGTTGATAGGATTTTTGGATCCATCAGTGTATATGCCCAGCTATCCCAGTTAGTTTCAATTTTAGTGTTAGCTACTGATCGTAGTAGAGTTGGGTTTTCTTTTTTAGTGACTTTTGATGTTAATGCAGTCTCACCTTTGAGAGTTTTTTTCTGAAGTGACTTACTGGTGGCTGAATGTCATCACAATTGTGACTTCAGATGAGTTCACGTACTTAGTCCCAGATGTCTTTCGTGGGGTATTTTTCCGAGATAGGGCCTCACCTCGTGGCTTTTGTCTTGCAATATCTTTGTCAACAAAGGGTTTGATAATCGTGTCCCAAGAACGATAATATTGCCTGCTCTCCTCTTACTTTCAATAGGAGTTCTCCTGTTTCTACTTGTAGTGCTTCTTACGAAGTACCTGTAACCTGTGGTTACCATTAGGGCTTTGTATTGTATTCTGTCCAGGCGGCTTAAGACAGTATTTGATCCTGCGTGATAGGCCTCACAACCATTGTCTATTTTTGATCTGAGAAGTGATTTGAAGAGGTCAAGCTGAGTGTCCCTCGAGGTGCCCCAAGATGTGCCTGAAATTGTCCGCAGTATGTTCAGAGCTTTATGACATCTGTTTTCCACATACCCTGTATGAATGCTCCAAGTGAGGTGAGGTGTTGATCTGGGATCACCCCTGGAACATTTTCTGACTTTTTTCGAATTTGATTGGTTTGCCTTTTATGGAGAGACGGGGTATCATGGCATCTTTTCCCCTGCGTTTGAATAGAACTCCCCACAGTTATTTTTCACTTTGATGTAACCCTATCATGACTAACTGGATTTTCTTTTCGGATTTGCGAAATATCTCGAATTTAGAAGTTTGGGTAGGAAAGTTGACCTGATCAAATAGATCATTGATCATGATGTTTCAACAGGGTTGGGCTTATAATGCTACCTTGTGGCGTGCCATTGTCCATTGTCATAGGGTCAGATTATTATTCCCTATTTTAACTGATAGTGGCCTATCTTGCAGAGAGCTGTCTGTGAAGTTTGTCATGTTCCCTTCTCCTCCATTTTGTGCTAAAAAACTGCGGCTAGGTATGGTCTGTTGAATTGAGCTTTTTTCATTTCATTTTCCAGTCTTAGTTTATGATCTAGATATGAGTGTCCCTTCCTGAAGCCGCTTTGATCAGGTTTGATGTGGTTGCCAGTTTCAAGGTTATGCATGAGCCTTTTTGTAACCATGGCTTCCATAGCTTTGCACACGTTTGAAGAGAGTGAAATCGGTCGATATCAGTTTGGTAGGGCATGTTCACATGCTTTGGGGACTTATCGTGTGGTACAACTCAGTAAGGTCTTTATTTGATCAGGTAGATGTTTCCATATCTCGTAACTGATAATGTCAAGACCAGGTGCAGTGACTTTTCTATGTGGTAATGCATCATCAAACTCTGTCACAGTAAATGGTCTATTGTATACCAGATGCTTGCTTTGCGTCTGTTTTGATATCTTATGCACAAGCAATTTTTGCAATTTTTGTTGCTGCTGACAGATGAGAAGCGTTTAGCTAAAATGTTGGCCTTTTGTTTGACTGTATGGGTGTTAGCTAACTTGGGCATTTTGTAGGTTAATGTTTCCCCTGATTGTGTGTATTTTGCTCCAGACTGTTTTAGCATATTTGTTTTCATTTACTGATTTGCAGAAGGTGGACCATGACTTTTGTTAGAGTCGTCCATGAGGTGAAGTTTGATTGATCACTTTTTGACCTATTAGTGCTGTCTTTTTTACTCTCTTAGCTTTTGCAATTTCCCTGTTCCACCATGGTACCAGAGTTGTGACGGTTTTGTGGACCGATTTTGACGAAAAGGATCAAAATTATCTGAGGCAATTTCTGAGGATTTGAATGATGAACATTCCTTCCTGAGTTTGGGCTAATCAACCTTTACATAATCCCATGTGGGCTGAGGATTGGGCTGTTCCTCTAATTGTGGTGGGCTACCTATGTAGGTGAGTATAGGAAGGTGGTCGCGTCCCCAAGTGTCATCATGGACTTGCCACTGGCAATGAATGAATGAATAATCGTTATTTCCTCCATTAGTATCGGAGAGTACAAACATGGAAATTGATTAATCAGTATGTACATGCATGATAACAGATATGTATATTGTCAGGTTACAGATAGAGAATAGACGTCAGCTGCCATGAGCTTATTTCTCTGCTGACTATTCTTATAAATGGAGCCCTTGTGTCATCTCCTCTACTAGATACGTTAAAGGGCAAGTTCACACGGAAATGAACCTATTTTTCTTGTACTTTTTCCACATTAAAAGTGTTAACCTAGAAGTGTCATAGACAAAAATATAAAAATTTCACAATTAATCAACATAATTTTCG